TGAATCAGCCGGTTCAAGCGGCTGAATCAGCTAGCCGGCAGTCCCTCCGGCGATCCCGAACCTCCAGCAGCCTTCCTTGGTGTCTTCACGTGGCTGTGGTGGCCAGCTTCCCGCTGAACAGCCACCAGATCGCTTCTTTCTACTTGATTTTTCGTTATTAGTTCATTAGCGCGAAATCGAGTCGGTTCTCACTATAGCTTGTGCACTCGATTCTCATAGGTTTGTCGAGCTTTCCGAGACTTCTCCGTGCTGCTCTTGATCTGAATACGGAGACCGGATGGCTCGATTGCGCATCGAAGCATCATTAAACAAGGTAAGTACACTTGGATGTTATTCTGTAAATTCGTGTACAGAGGAACCTGCATGTTTGAGATGCTGATTTCAGCTCGTTAATATCGAAATATTGCGAATTGATGAACTAGAGAGTCGTAAAACACGTCTCAAGCTTCGATTTGATATATTGCATGCCTCAATCAGACTTAGTTTGCTAGGTCAAAACTCTTTTCGGAAGTTAGGATCAGAATCTGGAATGTGATGTTCAAGTCTGTTCTGATGATTTCCTGATTGACGTTGTGCTGTTCTATGATTTTTATGATTTTCTATGATTGTTGTTTGAAGAAACTTCCTTCATGAAAGTCGTAGAATACATCTTAATCTGTTCATCATAAAATTTTCATAAAATTCCGACTATGTTAGGATTGTAGGATCTGCAACGCCATATATGCATAGATCTGGTGACAGACTAGTTCTGACTGACCTTCATGTGTTCTTCGATTTTTATAAATTCATGTGTTCATAATATGAAAAAGTTTTATTCATGAAAGTTCACATTGAGATCAAGATATTTCCAATGATACTAACTTTATCAAGATCGGAGTTCATTTGGATCTTCAAAAGGAATTTTCACGATTCAATCAGTATCTGTGTTCAGATCTGAATGTCTTTCCTCTGAAATCCAAAGTATGTTTCTCCGAATTTGATAAAGTTAGAGCCCTCCTTTGCGAAAACTCAAAACTACAAAGTTGTTCCTTGGGGTCTCATTATGTTTACTGGAAATTTTGAGGGCCTAATAGCAATTTTTAGAGGGTCAATTTGCTAAAAATTTCATATAAGGTCTTCTCGGGTTAAAATTTGATTTGCAAATGAGTCCTTGATGAAAAATGAATTTTATAAAAATTTGGAGGACTTTTTAGAAAAAAAATAAAAACATGAAAGTTGTCACACATGGAAAATCCTAACTGTATAAAAATTTTCACGCGGTTTTGATAAGGTTTGTTATTTTTCCCGCCATTATTTTGAAATCCCTAACAGAACCAGGTCCAGATTGTCACCGAATGTAAATTTGTTATTTTCGTGAAAATCGGCTGGGAATCAGAACAAATGGTCTTCTTGACTTTTGATCCTCATGACATAAGCTTTCTAATGAAACCTAAATCACTTCATTTGTACATTATTAGGTGGATTAATCACATCTGAACAGAAGTAATCCGAATTAGAAAATAACTGAATAAGTGGTCTCCTTATGAAGCCCACTTTTCATTGCTTGATTGGTTGAGAAATAAGGCCCATGGGCCTGAATGCATGCTTATTTCATTGCTATGCATGTGCTTGCTAGATGTATGTTAGGCTCGATGTATGTTCGGCGGGTAGCCCATTATGGTCACTTAGAACCCGACTTTAGGGGTTAATCAATATGAGTTGCCGTTTTGTGAATGCAAATGGTAGCCTGTTATTGTTAACCATTAATCAAATAATGTTAAATGATTAGGAGGGTGGGTGAATCGAAATGCATGTAAAGCAAAGGTCGACCCCGAGGCCGGTGTTTGATTAGTGAATTGTTTGTGCCATTGCTTTTCTTTGGTTGTTCCTTTGTGCATTGTTTGTCGTGAATGTATGTTGTGAATCTAAACGCCGACACTCTAGAGGCGGTCCATGGTGGGGATAATCCAAAATTGTAAAAGACCAAGGCGATAGACCGATGTCCCATTCGGTCTCAATTTGTATTCACTTGACGGTGGCTATAGACCGATGTCTGATCCGGTTTCAATTTGTATTCAATTCATTCGTCCCCGATCATATCTCGGGTTTTCAATTTGTGTTGTAATAAACACCCGACGAGTTGCGGGTTTTACTTTCTCGCACTTTGAATTAGCTCGTCTTTTCAATACTTTACGAAATGTCTTTCAATACAATTGATTGTTTCTTTCTTTTTCTAGACTAAGATAGGATTAGTTTAGAATCTTAAATGAAAATATAAAAACAAGATGCATGATCACTTAGTGGACTAAGGTTTTGACGTGAAAATGGTAAAAAATAAATGCATGACGACTTAGATAACAACTATGCTAAGTTTAGCGGTACCGAAATGGCGTTAATAGAAATATTAACGTAAGCTAGTCCCCGAACTCATGATCTCTGGTTTTCGTAGAAACCGAAACAAAAATCCCGCGTTTCGGTTGGGTATTCAAGCCGACCTCTGACCTAGGCTAGTGGCGACTCCTAAAAAAAGTAAAATCGATCCCCTGTCACGCAAGGTATGGATTTAGGAAAAATCCACGTTCATGATCAATGGAGCATATGGATGACCAAAAGATCGATGCTTCGGTAAACCGTCTTTTATGATGTGCTAAACGGACCGTATGGATGACTAAAAGATTGACGCTTTGGTAAGCTGTCTTTTATGATGTGCCATGCGGACTGTATGGATGACTAAAAGGTCATGCTTTGGTAAAGCTATCTTTTATGATGTGCCATATGGACCGTTTCATGAACACTTATCTCTAAACCCGCCTTATCGAGTTCGGCGCTCGAGAGGTAGGTCGCGACAAGAGCTCAGTATCAACAACAGCAGATAAAGGGGGAGAGGCCCGAAACCAACAAAGACGTAAGCAAAGCCATGGAGAAGGAAAAGGAAAGAATCAAGAGGAAGCGAATAGTGCGGACACCACAAGTAGTATTAAAAGTTGGTAGATGAGCAACAAGTGAAAGGGACATGGAGCAATAGAGAAGGTGAGTGAAGATGGGTGAGGAAGCTGGTGAGGGGGTGGGTGTGGAATGGAGAGTTGGGCTTGCCTCGGTATTTCACTGCGATGAAGTTTTTTTTTTGGTAAGGACACTGCGATGAAGTTGACCAGAACTGGAACGAAGAAGGCGGGAATGGCGTGGATATTCCTCCATTGATCGCACCCAATAACAGGCATCTTGAATTTATGTAGTTTTGAGAAATGGGAAGAGGAGAAGGCCGGAGCTGCAAGAGCACAGCGCATGTCAATGCATCCGAGAAATGCATGAAGTGTATTTATAATGAACATTTAGTTTTTGGCCAAGATGAGTCAATTGGCTAATTTCCCCCTAGTTCATAGAATAAACTATGGCAGGGGAGAACCCGAGGCCATCTGTTTTTCTGAGTCATAGGGGAGCCTTCTACAACAGAGCCTGTTGTTGAAAACTCCCTTGTTATAGTTTATTCTATAAACTTCAACGGGGATGCATCCCTACTCAAACCCTGTTACAGTTAATTCTACAAACTAGGGGGAAATGAGCGGTCACTCGTGCGCTTCCACTCGAGTCAACTGTCCGTTACTTCAAAATTTTAAATTATTCTGATACGATTAAAGAATTATCTCCGGTTTATAATTTATGAGAATAATACATTGATTTTGATAAGTCTTGAACAAATTCTCACAATAAAGTATACTTCACGAATCATTATTTTTTTTTAAAAAAATTCTCATTATAAAGTATACTGCACAAATACATGATACTAAAGTATCAATAGAAAAGTAACGCATCGTTCCAGAAAAAGTAATAACACATATTCAACAAATAAATAAAAGTTATGTTACAATAAGAACGTATATTAGTAAATCATAAAAAAAGCTAGCAATGAATTCAAGAGGTCATAAAAGAAAAATATGTGTCTAGATGCCAAATAGCAGTGATTTACTAAGACTTCATGTTGTTAATTTGATTATAGCCGTTGTTTTGCCAGGAGTAATCAGATAAATGGTAAGAAAATTACTAAAAAAGTCCTCAACCTATTGTAATTGTGCCAATTCAGTCCTAAATTGGCCGGCCGGCGCTGACGTGGACAATATTTAATAATATTTTATTTTTTTTGAATTTTTTCATTTTTCCTTTTCTTTTTCTTTTCTTCCTTCTTTTCTTTTTGTTTTGTCCCCATAGCTAGTGACCAACGAGGCTCGCTGGCCATTGGGTGAGGGCTGTGAAGCCCTCGCTGGCCACGGGCGAGACCATGGCCGCCTTTGCTCGCAGCCATGCCTCGCGATCTGGGTTCTGTTGATCAGGACCTTATTGTGCTCCTTGACGAGCGAGACGAACTCGAAATCGTCGTCCCCGACCTCATGATAATTGCCGCCCAATTGACCGCTCCGATGATTGCTTGAAGAAGTGGGCTCCGACTCGGAGCTGCGTCCTTCGTCTTTGTCCTCAAGAACAACCCCACAAGCAATGTTGGCGAGCCAATTGGCAGAGTAGTTGTTGAAGCTTGGACACACCACGAGTTGCTCCTAGGCCTTACACCTAGATCGAGAGGCACAGCCATAGGCGAGGCTGGGCGAGGGCAGCGATCCCTGCCAGAGCCTCGTTGGCCACTGGTTGTGGGGGAAAAAAAAGGAAAAAGAGAAAGAAAAGAAAAATTAAATAAAATAATTCGAAAAAATGAAAATATTATTAAAAATTATCTATGTCAATGTCGGCCGGACAAAATTGGCCGAATGGACTGAATTGACACAATTGCAATAAGTTTATGATTTTTTTGGTAATTTTCCCGATAAATGGTACGTGTTAGGACTCAATTAAGGAAAAATAAGGCACTTTTGATTAACTTTGTAAAGGGATCAGGACAATACTATTCAACATTCAGTGTCCAATAATTAACTTTCTAGTGTCAACATATCGGGAATAGATTAACAACCGACTACTATAATAATATAAAATATACAATCATTGCACGGACTTTTGCTAGTGTTGGTATCGTGTAAATGGAATATCCTCATCAATTCCAATGGTTTCGATGGGCCACGTCTAATGCGCTCGATCGGAGAGCAAAAGTACATAGTCATCCTCTAATCACAATAGTGACATATCTATTTTCGTTTATGGTACATCTTCAAGAATGCGAAGCTCCAATTCGGCGACCTATGCAGTATGAGTATACCAGTCAAAGGGCATTAAGAGATTGAAATACAGTACTTTAACTAGTAATTTGACCAATAAAGGGAATGCCATAAATGGATGAGAGTCTATTAAGGGGAGCCTCTCCCGAAGGGAGTAGTAGGTTTTCTTGTCAGCCAGTCTTGTCCTCCAATCAAGTCCTTTGTCAAGAAAGGAGCTGCTTCGCCGTCTGATAAGCTTCTTGACCAGTCAACTCTCTCCGACCTGTTAGCTCCTGGACCAGAACACTTGTATTCTCCATAGTACACATTGCTGCAATGTGACAGTCACCGAACAAAAGCAAAGAGGTAATTGGACATGTGAAAATGAATTTGGGGCTGGAAAAAAGTGCTAAATTGAGAGATTTAAAACCTATATGCTGGATTTTTCCGCTGTTGATCAAGCTAATTGAAAAGATAGCATACATATTGTGCAAAGGCAGAGTCATCTAAGTTGCCGGGCAATGTTCATTTATATGAGAGAAAAGTCCCAATGACATAACTACTCTCGTGCCATCGATCTCTCAGCATACCCTATGTTGAAATCACGGCAAACATCAAACTTTTCCTCTGAGTTTTCCTACTATTACCGAGACCACTAATTCAATTGATTTGGGTTGTGTGATATCAAAAATCACAACCCAGCAATCACATAATATGCACTGGAAAGGTATATGTATATGTAGAAGTATAAATAGGAACCTGTGCTTTTTCTGGTCATTCCATTCATCCCAGCCTTGGGGCAATATGGCAGGGGATAAGTAAGAGAGAGCAAACACAACCCGTGAATAATCACCCCATGGCCTTCCCAGAAATGCACTCTTCACTCCTGTGATCTTGCATCCCAGGAACACATAGCCCGTGTTATCTGTCCCCGATTGCCTGTGCTGCGCCGTGATCGACCCGTTCTCTTGTGAAATCGAGTGCACGTGGCAATTCTATGTGATCAACCACATATGACCATTCATCATCAATTTCGAATCCATGCATTGGCATGCTAGTGATTAGTAACTGCACTTGATTAAAATCGCACTCACTTCGAATAGTGAAGCCGCGTCTCCGCAGATGAAGTCGGTCCCGCCCTCAATGTAGCAGTTCTTATAGTAGTGTCGTCCGGCGTCGTCCAGGAGAGTGTCCTGGTAAGACAGGATCCGGCACCTGTAGAACGCCACCTGGTCTCCGGCCACTCTCAGCGCAACTGCTCTTTCACCCACCCCGAACGTGTTCTGTATGGGTCAACAAATTCGTGAGCCCAACATGAACGAATACTTTAATTATTACGGGAAATGGTCAGACACACTTTTTGTTGCGTGTTTGAAATTCACAAACCACATTGAATGGTGGTAATAATCTGCATCATTCATTATATTACGAAATCATATAACAAGGAAAATGATATCAAATCTATGTCTCTGTCATTTTTTAAAGCCGTAAAAGGAAATATACAGATGTAAATGTACCTGAATAGTGAGATCTCTTCCAACGAAACCAGAAGCCAAGATCGAAACCGTGGGGGAGTTGAATATATCTCCGCTGCCGTCGCTCCATGTGATTATGGTATTCGAAGATTTCGTGCCGCTTAATGTAATGAAGGGCTTGTTCTCTGGCACAACTATCTTCTCTCTGCAACATCGTACTTGCAAAGATGAATTTTAAGAATCCGAAAAAATGAGAAACTTCAATTTCGTGTCGAGCAACTCCCATTAGGTACAATTTTTCCATTCGACGCCATGCGATATATAGAAATATTTTCATTTTTATAATTTTTGGTTGAAAACACACAATTATTTCTCTGTGATCTTGCCCGTAGTGATGAAGGTACGTTGTTACCTGAACCTCAAACTCAAGATGCTTTTAAGTCTTTCTCTTGCCCTTTTCTGAACCACATCGTTTACCCTTCATGTACACATGATATGTCCACCACGTATGAATGTATCTCAGTGTATAATGTCGAAAAGAGCCGCAAGATTAGATTATGCGATAAATTGTTTCCCCTTTGTTCAATACTTCTAATTTGGTTGACTGTATAATAACAGAACAAATCTCATTAAATGGTGGAAAGGATGTAAACCACTCTAAAATGAACTTTTTTTCATTCATGTGATGGGAAAATCATCATTTTTTCAATTAATGGATGCAAAAAAGTACGATCAAATAACGCGAATCCTTACTAGTTACTGGGTCTGAGAGTAAGTACCATTTCCTCACCACTTGCTTATTAGTCCCCATATCTATGCTTATGAGATTCACATTAATATGAGAAAGTGTGGATATCACTGAAATACTAATACGGATAACCTCCTAAGGCAAGCATTTAACTAACCTGTATGTCCCGGGCTTGATTGATATGAAGACCTGTTGAGAGTTGCTGGAAGGAATGGCATCGATCGCGTCCTGTATCCTCCTAAAATCTCCATTCCCCGACTGGTCCACCACTACGTGAGTTGCTTCCGACGCATTATTCCCCATCAAAGCATCACCGGCTCTAGATATTGACGGAAAAAGAAGGATTGCTAACCCCGCTATCACAACCGTAAAGCCTTCATGCATCTTCATTTTCCAGGTAAGCTGCGATCGCTCCGGTGGTCTAGGTGTGGTGATGGAGAGAGTCGAAGAAGTCATGGTGGGTTTTTATATCAAACCAACCGCTTGGAAAATTGAAACCAGGTGGACCAAACTTGCGTCATATGGTCGTGTTGCAATTCACAACTTTCTCCCCTCCAAAGTCAAACAAATAGGTGACCCATCGCAGATGATCTGTCTCTGATTTTAGTTCACAAAAGTAGTGAACAATGTCGTCTTCATGCATATTATCGAGAGAGAGAGAGAGAGAGAGAGAGAGAGAGAGATTTCTTCAGTGCATGAGAGGAGTGGGACATGCAATAGTGATCTGCGGAGAGGAAGTTCGAGCGGTTTAACTTCTAGCGACCGCCTATCGCCCATCTCTGTCCAGTGCGGTTGCATGCATGCGTTACCACATTTGACGTTAGTAATTTAATGCAAGTTTTATCTGCTCTTGACCTATCATCATCAATTTTGGAATTACGTAGAGCTTAATGATTGCTCTATCCGCCAAACCATCTGTTTGGAGTCGCTTTATAGCTGTACCTTGTGCGAATTGGTTTGGTGGTGAGGAAGCTGTAGAGTTGCGTGAGTGCGAGGGACGTGAGTTTCAGTTCCCCTATAGAGACCCTACGGTTTTTCGCTAAAATATGTTTATTAGGGAGGTTACATTAGACGTTCCTAGCAATTGCATACTTCCTTTGTTGAAGTAAGTACGAATGATCTGATTCGAGATTTCCTAAGAATTGACTTAGTGAAGGCAATCATTTATAATTGACTAGATCATTTATCGAAGTAATATCCAAATACCAAATCTGCCTCTATGTAACCTTCATGAAGTTGAAGGAAGTGTTGGCCACGAAAATGGCACGCCCAGGATCACCATAATCAGAAACTGAAACACGATAATGGAGAAATTGTAGATTTGTGTACCTGGTTTGGAATCCATCGAACTTGACGCGGAATTTGCGACGGTTTCCGAACACGAACTCAAATGCTTCTCCCCTATACCCTTCGTTAGAACACTGGCCTAATGAGATTGCCACTCACGAGAAGAAAGTTCTCTCTAGATCCGTATGTGAGTCAAATTGTGCATCATCCGGTTAGGGGAGGGACTTGAGCGCTATTTATAGAGTCTTCGACCACGGGCCCTCTCATTACGAGCCGGGCCGTACTCGGCCCACACCAGCCAGTCCCATATTAGACTTATTAAGAACCCATATATCTTACCTTTATTAGACCAAACTAATTCAGTTAATTTCAATTAATGAAGCCCACATTAGGAAATTCTTACATTCTCCCACTTGGGCGATATTAATTGAAACAGAACTGTGTGCGCACCCTTATATTGGTCTAGAGATTATTCTTAATAGTCAATCCGATCCCATAAAGTCTCGAACACCGAATCATGGCGGTAACTGCATGTACTCACGCAGAGCCTTCCATGGTCACGAGTGCTTTCAACTTTACTGATATGGATTCAATATGGTAGTGTGTCAAATGGACAATACCTCATAATGAGTGATACTTTATGTGTTGTCCACTTTGTTAGTCCAAATTCTCTCTCCTTAAGTGTCACAAAACCTAATGTGTCACCAGAGAATATCCTTCATGGTTCCAACGAACCTTCATATGTCTTACATTGATAGTTAACTGTACTTTATGTGTAACAAGACATATCGTTAAGGCTAATACTAAGAATGCCCCATAGCCTGTACTCAAGGTTTACACAATGCCTCGAGATTTTCATCAAATATGTATACTCAACTTGATAAATCTACATTCACAAATACCTCATTGAATGCAAAAGAGTTGATACATATTCAAATATTACAAAATGTAACAAAATCAGATACAAACTTCATAAGAGCAACATAAAACTAAACAGCTCCCACTAATTAACAGTATCCCATGATACTCCTAAGCCCATGTTAATGACATGTCGATCAAATACACAAGGGCGAAGGCCTTTAGTTAGCGGATCTGCAATCATATCATCTGTTGAAATGTGCTCTACTGCAATGTCACCATCCTGAACTTTTTCCTTTATAGTCAAGTACTTGACCTCCATATGCTTAGACCCCTTGAGACCTCTGTTGTTGTTAATGAACAACACTGCAGAGTTATTGTCACAATACAGCTGTATGGGCCTATCCACAAAATCAAATACGATCAACTCCTTAATGAGGTTCCGAACCAAATTGCCTGAGTAGCGGTCGAAAAGCATGCTACAAACTCCGCTTGCATGGTAGAGGATGTCATTGATTTCTGTTTCTCACTTTTCCATGATACTTGCACCTCCTGCTAACTTAAAGATGTAACCTGTTGTCGACTTCTTTTCATCTTGACAGCCAGCAAAGTCTGAATCCGAATACCCAACTAGCTGTAGGTCCTGAACATGTTTGTAAATCAGCATATAGTCTTTTGTCCTCTTTAAGTACCTCAAAACCTTCTTGGCAGCAACCCAATGATCGTATCCTGGATTTGATGATATCTGCCTAGAAGTCCCATTTGCAAAAGCAATATCTCGGTCTAGTACATACTTGAGCATACATAATACTCCCAAGTGCACTAGCATAAGGTACATTCTTCATTTGGGCTTTCTCAAAATCTGAATGAGGACATTGTGACAGACTCAACTTATCACCCTTCTTGACAGGAGCAATTCCTGGCTTGCATTCTTGCATGTTGAATCTTTCTAAGATACGATCAACATATGCCCTCTGAGATAAACCCAATAGTCGGCGAGAACGATTCCTACGAATCTCAATGCCAAGGACAAAAGACGCCTCACCAAGGTCTTTCATATCAAAGTTCTTTGACAACATCCGCTTTGTCTCATGCAGTAAACCAAGGTCACTGCTTGCAAGCAGAATATCATCAACATAGAGTATAAGGAAAATGAATTTCCTCCCACTGACCTTGGAGTATATACACTGATCTACTTTGTTCTCAACAAAACCAAATGAAGCGACAACACTATGAAACTTCAAGTACCATTGTCTAGAAGCTTGCTTGAGACCATAAATAGACTTTTTCAGTCTACATACAAGCGTACCTGAATCATCTGCCGCAAAACCTTCGGGCTGCATCATATAGACTTCTTCATTAAGGTCTCCATTGAGAAAGGCAGTTTTAACATCCATCTGGTGTAACTCCATATCGAAATGAGCTACCAATGCCATGATCACTCTCAAAGAATCTTTCGAAGAGACTGGAGAAAAAGTTGCTTCATAGTCTACTTCTTCTCTCTGAGTGAAACCCTTGGCTACCAGTCTGGCTTTAAACTTCTCAATCTTTCCTTTGGAGTCCCTTTTAGTCTTATACACCCATTTGCAGCCAATGGGTCTATGACCTTCAGGTAATTCAACAAGTTCCCAAACTCCATTATGCTTCATAGACTGCATTTCATCTCTCATTGCATCCAACCACGGTTCCGACTGAGGACAAGAAACAGCTTCCGTGTAAGTCACTGGATCAGCTACAGAACCAATATCGTAGTCTTGCTCTCCTATATATACTAAATAGTCTGGTGGTATAGCTGATCGTCTCTCCCTAATGGATCTCCTTACTGGAACAACAACAGCCTCATCCTGTACCTGAGAGCCTTGAGGAACTTCATTAGGAGCTGTCTCAACAACAGGATCCTGAGCCTCAACAGGTTCAGTCTGTGGTGTGGGAGTCTCCACAATTATCTGTATGGGAGGAGATAAAGATACAACATTACCAACCGTACTATTATCCTCAATAGTCTGTGAGCAGCTACTTTCTTCGGCCACATCAAACTCCGAAACTTGGTGCATCGTGATTCCACAATTCTTGTGCCTCCATTGGTATTATAGAACCGATATCCCTTCGAATGATCGGGGTAAGATACAAAGTAACACCGAGTGGTTCTGGAGTCCAACTTACTTAATGTTGGATTGTATAACTTCACTTCTGCAGGACATCCCCAAACCTTAAGATGGTTTAAGCTAGGCTTACGTCCAGTCCATAACTCAAAAGGAGTCAATGGAACAGCTTTAGTAGGTACACGATTCAGAATGTACAAAGCTGTTTTCAAAGCTTCACCCCACAGAAAAACAGGTAAATTTGTCCTACTTATCATACTCCTCACCATTTCCATAAGGGTGCGATTGCGCCTTTCGGCTACACCATTTTGCTCAGGACTTCCGGGCATAGTAAACTGAGCCACTATCCCAGAATCCTCTAAGTATTTGGCAAATGGCCCCTTAAGCTGTCCGGCATCGCCATGTTTGCCATAATACTCTCCACCTCGGTCAGATCTAACAACCTTTATGACCTTTCCCAACTGTTTCTCTACTTCAGTCCGAAAAATCTTGAACTTGTCAAGAGACTCAGACTTTTCTTTAATCAAGTACAGATAGCCATATCGAGAATAGTCATCAATAAATGTAATGAAATAAAAATTTCTACATAAGGTTGCCGTATAGGGTCCACTTATATCGGTGTGAATGACCTCCAACAGTCGGAACTTGAGTGCAGTTTTCTTCCTTATCTTGGTCATTTTACCTCTACAAGTCTACGCATATCTCTAGGTCATCTTTAAGAGCGGGCGGGATGTTAGTCTTTATCGACCTTTCTACTCTATCCTTAGAGATATGACCAAGCCTTTTATGCCACAATGCATAAGACTGTTCCTTAGGTAGTGGTCTTTTGGAAACAACCTTTTCAGCCGTATAAGCGACGTATATGTCATTGGGAGACAAACACAATCTGTACAATCCGTTGGACATATAACAGCACCCAACCTTATTTGAATTAAGAAACAAAGAAATAACATTGTTCTTGATTTCAAAAGAGTAGCCATACATGTCCAAACACGATACGGAAACTAAGTTCCGTCTAAAAGAAGGTACATAAAAAGTGTCTTTCAACATTAATCTAAAACCAGAGTCTAGAATCAAGATTACATCTCCCACAAACACAACATCAGCTTTCTCGTTATTTCCCACAGTGAGTCTTGACTCATCCTGATTTGGCTTCCTCCGGTTTATGAATCCCTGT